TTTTTTTTTTTTTTTTTTTTTGGGGGGGGGGGGTGGCGGTTTGGGTTTAGGGGTTTAAGTGCATTCTGGTCTACTGTTGCGGATACGACAAAGTATCCTCGTGATGCAGCTGCTGTGGCTATCCTTCCGTCTTAGTGTTGCATGTGCCTCTGTGTTTACTTTACCATGGCATGGCTGTCTCAGCCAGAAGTATTGTGGCAGCTCAATGCGGGATCTTCATCCTCCTCTGAATGGCCCTGGATCTATTCACGGAAGCGCGTGGTGATGGTCAGGATGATGTTAGAGCTTATTTTCGATGTTGGTCCTGACGCTGACGCTCATGAAGAAGATGCTGATGATTGTGGTGATGACGAAGAAGACGATATTGGTCAATTTGGTAATGGTGATGTTAGTAGTATTGGCAGCAATACCAGTAGCAGTAGCAATCGGAGTCGGAGTCGTCGTTGTACATTGTAGTTGTTTCGTAGGCGTCGTCGTCGTTGTCGTCGTGGTGCTACTGTGGTATCCTAGCTGTTTCTTTGTTTGTGGCATACTTCTGTCTGCTCTGGGTTTTTGGTACTAGATGTGCTGTCTGATAGTATCCTTGTAGCGGTGCAGCAAAAGATGCTCGTGGTCTCAGGCGCGCCGCTCGTCGCGCCGAGGAAGCAAAGGTCAGCCCTGCGATTGCTGAACTTCCGTTAGTGGAACCCGCCAAGAGGCCCTTAAAGGAATAGGCAAAGGCGCCCTTGTAGGTTCCTTTCAGGAGCCCTTACTTGGAGGGTCGGGGGACTTAGTAAGTGGTTATTTTGAAAGACTTATAAGTACTATAACCCCAATTAGGGTCCCTTTTAGGATACTTATAAGTCTACTTATTACCTACTTACTAAGTCTCCCGACCCTCCAAGTAAAGGAAGCCTTAAGGGGGAGGGTCTACTTGGGTTGGCCCTTGCAGTTCGGGGTTTCGAGCAACCGCAGATCCGGAACCCTGGATGTCTATGTCGTTTCTCCCCGATACCCTGAACGCCAAAACCCTAAACCGCAAAACCCTAAACCCCAGAAAACCCTTAAACCCTAAAATTTCAGGCCCTAAAACCCTGAACCCTAAACCCTAAAAACCCTGAGCCCAAGGATCAAGCCTTAAGGTTTGGGCCCGTTGAGGAACCCTTATACCAGTTCCTGATCTCAAAGCACTTCTCACCCGAATTCCCTGAACAGAAGTCAAACCTAAACAAAGATCGAGAGGCGATGGCACGGACTCCGGGGCTTTGTCCCATGCTCTTCCGGCAGAGGCTCGCTGCTGTGTATTTGGATTTTAAGTTGCGCGCGGCCGGTGATGAGAATTCTGGCCAAACGGAGGACGAATCTGATAGTTCCCTCTGTTTCTGCTTCGCCGGCGTAGGTTTGCCAATGTCATGGAAATCTGAAGATCACTGTTCGGATCGAAGCCTCCCTCCCTAAACAGACGATAACAGACGATAACTTTTAAGCCTATAGCCTAAGCCCGGAACATCTGCACCTGAAAGACGAGGATGGGATGGCGATGGCATTGTGATGTTGATGGTAATGAAACTGGTCTCAAGGATCTAGATTCGCCTGAGTATGTTTTTCACATCTGAGGTTGCTTCTCATGGCCATTGTTGCGAGGATGCATCAAGGGTGTATGACTAAGATGCGGAGGCTACTTCACCTTGAATGAGCAATTTCATTCTGACCTTGGGGCAACATCGCCCTCAAGCCTGAAGGCGAGCAAGATCTGAACGGCTACCTTGTCGGCACCCCTCTGCTGTGTTTTCTCGAGTGTTTCCTTAATCATCGCCCCAACAGCTGCGCGGCGAGAGCGGCGAGACGGTCGTTTTCGCAGCTGGGGAGCATAGACGCAGTAGCCTGAAGATTCCGTTTTGGACTTTCAACCACCTGGACCCTAAACCCGAAACCCTGAACCCTAAACCTAAACTCAAAACCCGAAACCCGAAACCAACCATCTTGAAGCCATCGCCTGGTAGTCAGGTCTTTGAGACGCCAGGGTCGGACTAAACCCCCCCAAGGCCATGATCTTCAGAACCTCGCGCCCCCGTAGTAGGTTGTCCCCGAAAGCTCAGTCCCCAAGCCGCTGTAGTCTCTAAACCCTAAACCCGAAACCCTCAACCCTAAACCCTAAACCCTAAGCCCCAAACCCTAAACCTTAAACCCTAAGCCCTGAACCCTAAACTCTCCACAGGCGCTGGCAGACTGCAGCGCAGTGGACACTCTGATGGTTTCGTATAGAGTTGGTTTAGGGTTTAGGGTTTAGGGCTTAGAGTTCCTTTGGGTAGTTTCCTTAACTAGGGTCCCCCTTTTGGATCCCCAATATAGTACGGCGCCCTTATAAAAAGGACCCTAAAAGGGACCCTAATTTAGGGAACTACCCATATAGGGGCCTGAATAGTTGGAATAGGGTTCGTTCACTGGGCTCTTTACAGGGTTCGATCTTTGATCTATAGTAGGGTTCTTAGGGTACAGGGGGCTTAATAAATAGAACAAGGTTCTGGGGTATATCATACTATGATCGTAATACGGAGCCCCAAAATAGTAGTGGTAGTTTTGAAGGGTGGAATATAGAGATATATAGAGGCCTTGGCAGCGGAAAGATGCTTTTGGGAATATCCGAGGCGCTACGTCAAAGGGTTTCGGGTTTAGGGTTCAGGGTTGATCCGCAATGGTTTGTTCTATGCTGTCGACTCTCGGTGGGATCAGACATTGCGGCTTTAGGATTTAGGGTCACAGTTGCGTTTGATCCATGGGTTTGTGCCTCAACACCTTCTCGATTCTCCATGGCCTGGCTGAAGAATCAACTTAATTTAAGTTACCATGATGGGGAGATGTAGTAAGCCATCTTGCGTTGGGCTTACTTATTGTAGTAAGCTTGCGAGAGAACTTCTATTGTCAATGTCTGGTCCTGATACATCGTTGCCTGCATCACACAAATAGCATTTCACCGTTCATTCTAGCACCGTCCGTACAGGGGAAGTCCGCGGTCATCGGAAGCCTTCAGAGTTTGCGAAGCAAGTAACATGCCCCCGAGTCAAGGTGACAATGCGTGTCACGGCGCAGGGTGAGCAGTTTCGAGATGTGTGCCTCGGCGAGGAACCTGCTATTATACGTGCCATGAGTCGTTCTTGCTTGATCTGAGAGGTAAATGCCTTCCTCGGACATGAGGTTGCTTGTAGCCAAAGTGCCTTCTAGCACTCCTGTTTCAGTGAAGTGTTACGTGAACAGGGCCGCAACCGCAAACCCTTTACACCCCACCCCCAACCCACGAACCTCCCCAGTAGCCCAAGCATGGCGTCGGAAGCGATGGAGACCCTGAGGTTTATTCGGGACCCTCCAATGCGAGATGCACCCGGAATACACAACGAGGAGGACGGAAGACCGGATGAGACCTAGACGCTTTCCTAAAACCCCTACTGTAGACCCCAAAGCTGTAGACCCCCCCCCAAAACGGTAGAAGTACCGCAGCTGGGGCAGCATCGCACAGCGGCAGGATGATTGGGTAGAAAGCCGCAAGCAAGGTAGTTGTGGATGCAACAAGTTTTGTTGCGCCCACCAGGGATAACTACGGCGCTCACAACCTGCCCATGGCGACTCATGATCCACGGAGTTTCATGTGAGTTGCCGTAACGAGATCAAGCAGTCACTTGTTGTAGATCCCGATTAAGCCCGAGACTCCCCATGTGCACTAAACCCAAATATCCCTTGACAAATCCTCAGCCTGAAGATATCAGTTTCAGGTACCGAGGTGCCTCTTCGATCTGAGAGGGCCATAGCTTTGAGGTTCGACAAAGACCGGAAAATTCCCAGAGCCAGCAGGAGCTGTTCAACCACATCACGGCCCTTGGCTACGACGTGGTCTGAGGGAAAGAGGCCGGCTCAAAGAGGTCGTCCACAGATCCTTGCAGCTCTTGGACCAAATACCGTGTCCGTTGTGCAAATCAGGGTTCTACAATAGGGTTCTACATTAGAGTTCCTTACACCCTAAACCCTAAACCCTAGATTGTCTCAGTCATTAGAAGCCTTGGCTGACCTGCACCAGAAGCATGCTGGCCTGTAGGCCTGGAGCCTGGGGCCATGGTGTGGCAGGAGGGGATCATGGTGCGCGCAGCCGCTTAACGGAGGGTTGTAGAGGGCTCATGCAGGCCGGTTGCAACAAGTACTTCTAGAACAGTATCCAGTATCCCCCTGGACGCTAACCGCCCGAACCCTTCCTAGATCTCAAAAACGTCCCTCGAAAGCCCATGGAGCTCATACTCCGAAGTACGTCTTTCAGAGGTTACAGACTTGGGGTCCACGTAGCGTTCCGAGCTCAGGGGCCTCGTCAGCACGCGGCAAAGTGGAATAACTCGCTGAATTGTGGGCATTGAGTCTCTCACCCACATGAATTTCGCAGAGCCATGTCGCCCAGCTCGGAGACGGTGCTGGGCAGGCCAGACGCCATTGCGCCAGAGGTATCCTTCGGCCTCCAGGACCCAATTCCCTCCGAATTTGCAAGTGCATCAGAGGAGGATGTAAAAGACGGGGGTGAGCAGCTCGCGCCCTTCTACATTGCATTTGTCAACCAGATGGAGGCGACACGGCCAGAGGTACTACGTGGTGTTCGCGTTGGGGAGCTGCTGCGTTACTTGCCGTGGACTTGGCTACAAGGTGGCGACCTCGAAACTCTGCATTCACTCAGCCAGCAGACAGAGCACTTTGATCAGTTTTGGTCCCACAGCTGGAGCGGGGCCCGGTGGTCCAAGTACATCAACATACTTTACCTCCATAATTGCGTGCCGGCAACCATTGCAGGATCATTGAGCGCTAGTGTAGCCTGCGGTCTCGTCTCAGCGGGAGTTCTGGAAGGGAGATGGTGCCTCCTCTCCGGGCTTGTTGCCTTTTGCATCGTCTTGCTGCTTTGGCATCCACGGAAGCTGGTGTTTATAGACATCGCATGCATCCCTCAATCTGACCAAGACAGAAAAGGAGAGGCCATTATGAGTATGGGTGCATTTTTGAAGCAGTCGACTTCCATGCTAGTTTTGTGGGATCCATCATGGGTGACAAGACTGTGGCTTGGATGCTGGTAAGTCTCGCTAGCAGGAGGTTGTGCCGAAATGGATACTTTTTTCTTACACCAGACCTTCGTGTCCTGGGGAACTAAGGTGGTGCATCTTCGAAATCGCCGCTTTTCTGCACAGCCGCAGTCCCGGTTGCAAGGCAGATCTACAGATTATTCCTCCCTTGTTGGGGCCAGTGCTTTTGGGCTGTGAGATGCTGCTCTGCGTAACGGCCATGGCATACGGCTACGTGGAATCCTCCTTGGCCTCTTCGGAAGAGGCAGTCCTCGTGGGAGAAGAATCTCTACTGCTCCTAGCTGTCCTTGGCCCGCTCTTCAGCTTCGTGACGCACGCTCTTCGAGGCTATGCCCGCAGTGTTGAGATGCTTCAAGAGCAACTCCTCGAGTTCAAGGTTGAGCATGCGAGAAGCGCTTGCTGTGACCAGGGCCATGAAGACAAGTCACTCTGCGACCGCGAAGTTATTCTTGAATGCATCGCTGCGTGGTACAGCTCTCTGGACAGCTTTGAATTGCAAGTCCAATCTGAAGTGCGGATGGCCATCATCGACCAGCTTGCATACAGAGCTATCTCCTATCAACGCATCGTGCTTCTTTCAACTCCCTATGTCTGGATTCGTCTTGAGTATGCAGCTAGCCGCGCTAGCGATCCCAGCGGACAAGTAGCCGATCTGGCCCAGACATTCACCTACTTGCTTGCGATCTTCCCTTTGCTGGACAAACTGAGCTTCCGTTTGTGCTACCGCTGGCGAGCACGATGTTGCAGGCCCTATGCGGACTTCTTGCTATCGAATGCCATCGTGGTCGTAACCCTCTTGTTCTACATCGCTTGCTACACAATCCAAATCTACGTCTTCCGTCAAACCGAGCGGGCACTTCTCCTGAGTGTGATCTCAATGTTTTCCTGGTGGGCTGTCGCAGCCATCCTGTGGCGAATCACCTGAGCACGAGACCGACCATTCAGTTGCCTTGAACTCGTAAGCTAACATCATAAAAATCACATCTTGAACTTAGCAGGACGAGACTAAGCCCCTCACCCGGAGCCGTAAACTGATCTGCATGGCCAGCCCATGGCTCACGGGCTTCATTTCCTCAAGTTTTCATCAAGGCAAGATGGCTCAAGCCAAGATCCTTCACCCAGGGTCGACGACATATGCGCGATCCGGATGGACGTGTAATATGGGGGAAATATTTAGTATGTGGACATAATATGTAATATGGGGGAACTATTTAATAATAATATCCTCTTAGACTCCACAGGTAATTGTAGAGTATCATGCCCCGAAACCCTTTGTCATGATAACCGCCGCCACAGTATCCTTCGGGGCATAACCCATCATGGCCATCATGGCCGTCATCAGTCACATCCTCATTGCAGCATGGCTAGGTTTTGGTGATTTCCAGGGAGGCTTGGCGAATGAAGAGGTTGCGATGTCCAAAAAGTCCGTGTTCCTTGAATGAGGAACCAGCAGGACGCAGGATTAGGGCGCTTTTGGGTCCAGGGTTTAGGTTGGGTACTGCCCCCATACAGTAACAGTCTATAATAGGGCTACTATTAAGGGCCTAATATATCCGTAATATAAATATTCTCCAACTGTTACTGAGTGGGGGCAGTACCCAAGGTTCAGGGCTCATAAGTTTGGGATCGAGTGGCCGAAGCGGCCAAGCGAGCCCGGGTGCTACTTTCGCCAAGTCGGAGCAACATGGGAGTTTCCGAAAATTAGGGGTACCTTATTTTGGAGTCCTTATAATAAGGATCCTATTATTTAGGGTACTATATTAGGGTCCCCTATTTTCTGAAACCCCCACATTCTGTTCCTCCACCGCTGGGGAGCATCAGAATCCGGAAGAAAGGTCATGATCATGGTCGTGGCAAGGTTAGTAGTCGTATCCAGCAAAACCTGTGTTGTTGCTCCTTCTCCCCCACCACACTTCTTTTCGTTTCAACAATGCCATCGAAATTTCCCTGGTACCGGCGACTGCCTTCCTGAGGCGTGGCCTGGCAGCGTAAGTCATCGATCGCGTCTCCTCAGAGCAAAGATCGATGTGCAGCGATTTGGGTCTCCTAAACCCGAAACCCTACACCCTATACCCCTAAACCCCTAAACCCCTAAACCCTAAACCCTAAGCCCTAAACCCTAAGCCCTAAACCGTTTGGGGCTCGGGCTTCGAAGCCGCAAGCCCGTTGTACCTTGGGCCCCAAGTCTCATTTTAGTGAAGCGCCCGGCTCCCGAGAGAGGAGCTGCGGTCCCTGGGATCCCGAATTAGGGGTTTAGGGTTTAGGGTTTAGGGTTTAGGGTTTAGGGTTTAGGGTTTAGGGTTTAGGGTTTAGGGTATCAAGAAAAAGAAGAGTAACAATGGTCATAATGGTAGCAACAGTAATAGTAGTCATCATAATGGTAATGGTAATCATGGAGCAACAAATGGTCATAATGGTAGCAACAGCAATAGTAGTCATCATCATGGTAATGGTAATAATGATAGTCATGAGTCCAGAATCCGGAACTCTACCCCCTGGACCCTTGAACCCTAGAATGGAAGCCGAGGTAGAGATGGAGTGCAAAACTACCCTGCTCGCAGCAAACGATTCGTCTGCAATTTGCGCCTGCATATTTCCAGACGGTTGTAAAATCTCACGGCCGAGCGACACGTGGTGGCATTGCCTCGTAAGTCGTAATCTTAATTGATCCCGCGCGCGATAATCTTGGTTGGGGTGAGCCAGCAGCAGCCCCTACCACTGTGGTCCCTTCTACATAACCCCGATAGAAGAGGATTATGGTAAATATCTGTGTCATTCGCAACATGCATATGCTAGACCAGTATATCACGCAAGCATGCAAGCATGTAAGCATGTCCACATGTAAGTACGTATGTACCTGTGTAACTCTGTCTGTCCGTCTGTCCGTCTGTCCGTCTGTCCGTCGGTCTGTCTGTCTGCATATGTACGTATATTTGGTTGCTTGTTGGTTTGTTCGTTGGTTGAAGTGTTGCCAAGCACACCCTGCCCCCATGGCTACACAACCCCCGATGGCCACCCTGCATTTGGTGTGGGGTACGGGCGGTGGCTGAGATGCTTCCGGGCCTGTGTGCAGGCTGCTTCCCTCCATGACCATACCCTTGTGGGCGGAGGGGAAGGGGGAGTACTATATGTACATGGTTGTGCACATGACATCCTGTTCATAAGCTTTTTGGCAACATTTGTGTCCGGAGGCCTTCTTTCCATGTCCGACTGCACCCCAATTAACATGCAGCCTCAACCCCCGAGCCCTAAACCCAAAGCCCCAAACCGTAAGACCCTCAACCCGATGCCCCAAACTGTAAGCACTACGACCCACACCCCATCGACGCAGCCCTAGCTTCCTGACGCCCTAGCACCGTCAACCTTAACTTGCTAAGCGCTAAGGCCTAAGCCCTGAACGATAATATAGGGGCCTTAATAATTAGAACAGGGCTTGGGGTGTATTATACTATAGTTATAATAAGGAACCCTCCAACACCCTATTCTAGTTATTAAGGCACCTATATTACCCTAGTACTAACTGTTCAAATTTCTTCAACCTTGAACTCGTCTCTGGGTTAAGACAGCCATGGATGTCGGCATGCCAAGCTTCGCAGAATGCCTCGGGCTTGGCTGGGAGGTGTATGCAGGTGCTTCAAGCTCTAGGGTGTCGGTTTCTTGGCTTTGGGGCAAAAGAAAGGCAACAATCATTACCCTCAACCCTAAATCCTAAGCATTAAACCCTAAACCCTGAACCGTCAATTATGGTGTGGAGGTTCCGGGTCGGAGGTCCCAGGGGGTGGCGGTTGTTGGTCATGGTGCGGCTCTAAAAATAGGTAGATAGGGGCTCACTTGAGAAATCAGTTTTTTTTTTTTTTTTTGTTTTGTAGGCTCCTAGGCAGTGTAGGAGCTTTGGCAGTGTGGGGCCTTGTATCTGTAGACCGTGCACCTATTGTTGTTTCTAGCAGTTTTAGAATATGTCTCGTCACATAGGATTCCGATTCCCTATTATGCCGGGGCTTGAATAGCGGAAACCGTAACGTAACGGTTTCTCCGTTATTGGACTATGGCTTGCATATAAGTTTTCTAAGCTTTCCGGTTTCCGTACAAAGGCTTGCACAATTGGAACAAGGTATACAGGGCTTTCCCGGAACCGGAAGAAAACAATAGGTTTGGGAAATAGGGCAGATAGGAGCAAGGGATTGGGGTACGTCTTCGGATTGGGTCCAATGGGTCCAAGGGCCAGGTAACAGGGTTCAGGTGTTGGGTTTCAGGGTCAAGGCAATGTACCCTCAATCCCAGTGGCCCGTCCTGACAGTTCAGATTCCAACCCGGAAGCTCAAAGCCTCAAACCGGAAAGCCTGACTACAGAAAAGGAAATCCGACCCCTGGAACTCCGAAACCCTCGGCCCAAAGCCGCAAAACCCAAACCCTCCAATCGGACACGTTGTCCGAGGCTCCGCATAAACGTGCCTGTTTCGGCCTCGGCCAGGGTGTCGCCTTGGTTGGTAATTTGTTGCTTTTCTTCGAGGGGGGGGGGACCGGTTCCACTAGGACACTAGGAGTCTGCTGTAGCAAAATGGACACCGGACACGCCAGAACCAAACCATGAGTGAGGGAAAATACGTTTGAAGTAAGCTCCTAAGCCCTAACCCTTATTCCCTGTGCTTTAGGGGTTCCAGGGTTCCAGGGACTGCCGGTGCCTTTAGAGGTGAGATGAATATTTTGGGGCATTGTAGCCTGGACCCCAAACCCTCAATCGAGATGCGCTTGAACCCCCCAACAAGCCGGGAAGCTCAAATGTGGGAAAAGGAGTACCTGGGTTAGTTCTGGAGTGATGGGGTCTCAATCTCGAGATCATCTAGCCCGTCTTGCACCGTGGAGGATGCTACGACTGCCATTGTCTAGAGTCTAGGGTCCAGAGTTCAGGCTCTGAGGTATAGGCATTTTCGCTTAACTCTTATGTCAACTCAGATTCCCGTTCCCCACTGGACCTGCGAAGCCCCAAAAGGAGTGAAGGCCGGAGTCTTTCCCTAAACCCTAAACCCTAAACCCTAAACCCTAAACCCCAAACCCTAAACCCTAAACCCCAAACCCTAAAGCCTAAACCCGGAAATCCTAGAGCTGACATCCCAAGCCCGAAACCCCACAGCCTCAACTCTGCAGCGTCCAATCCTCAATCCCTCATACAGAAGCTCCGACTCTAGGCTACTTGGAGGGTTGGGGGACTTAGTAAATGGTTATTTGTATAGACTTATAGTATTATAACCCCAATTAGGGTCCCTTTTAGGGTACTTAAAAGTCTACTTACTACCTACTTACTAAGTCTCCCGACCCGCCAAGTAGGGTCGACCTAGGCTATACCCAATCCCCGAAACCCCGAGCTCCCACACCGCAAGTCCCTCAAACCCCCAAGGGTTTGCCAGCTTGCCCTCTAGCGCAGCGAAAAAGAGTATAGGGGCTTAGGGGCTTAAGGTTCAACGGTTGAGGGCTTAAGGTTTAGGGTTTAGGGTTCCGGGTTTAGGGTTTAGGAATCCCTAAACCCTAAACCCTAAAACATCCCAATCCCGAAGCCCTGAAACCTTGGCACCCAGGCCTCGCAGGCTCTTCCTCCGATCAGTCCCCTTGAGGCGCGCCCCCTCTTTTTGAGGGCTCGTAGTCATATGTGTATTTACATATTTTTCGATTTGTCAGTAATATGCCCACCGAGAGAGAGAGGGGTATGTATGTATGTATGTATGTATGTATGTATGTATGTATGTATGTATGTATGTATGTATGTATATATATATATATACATACATACATATGTATATACATACACGCACGCAAAAGCTCACATATACATAGACGTATATAATATGTATATACATATACAGAAACACACACACACACACACACGCACACACGCACGCATACATCTATGGTGTTTAGCTGGCCTCTGCA